GGGAAGACCAGCACACGTAGCAAAAGGCCCACTAAGACTGCGCCGTCTCTGACCGCAGCTTTCAGCGGTTTCTGCAGGGTTTTCCGGACTGTGCCTTTCCCAGGAGACATCCTGGTCGCCAGGCTGCGGCGGGAGAAGGGGAGAGAGGGCATGCGGGGGGAGGGGAGGGGGACTAGCTGTCGCGTTCTGAGAACGAAGGGCCACAGACTGTGGAGGCACCTGGGCGGCAGGTGTTCAAGGAACTAGCCAATCAGCATCCGTCACTCTCCCCAGAGTCCTGGCTCGCCTGACAGTGCCGCCTCTCCATGGTGACCCTGGCAACCCACTCCCAAAGGTGGCCGAAAGCGTTGAACCGCTAGATCCGGGGCGCACTTGTACGGACCGCGCTTTGATTGGTTTAGAGGAGAAGGGGGCGGGGCCTGGAGCGTCAGTGCTCGGGACCCGAGCCTGGACTGGCGAGTGGGAGTTGGTCAGAGCTCACGGAATTTTACATTTCTGTCCGGGATGCGGACCACACCCTAATTGGATGTGGGGGCGGGACTGTTTCCCCTTATTTTTCAGAAATACTCTGAGCTTCCTTCTTCAGAAGTACCCGGAGTTGGCCCAATTTTACAAATAGAGTCTGAGAGTCAAGGGCTATTTCTCTACGTTTCAGCGCTCGTGTAAAACAGAGTGGACAATCGGATCCACATGTGTGCCCTTTCAAAGCTCTAGAATTCCACTGCTCCCATGGAGAGGAGGCAGGAAGATGCGGCTGTCTGCTCCGGCAAAGATGGGCCGCCTCAGAAACGCCAGGTAGCGTCTCTGTCCTCCAGGGTCGGGATGAGTCGGAGTCACGCTCTAATTGGTGTAGAGGGTAAGAGGGCGGGCCGATGGATGGGTTCCCCGGAGAAATTAGGATTAAACTGCTAAACCACTCTTCTAAAGGCTGTACCCCCCTGGGAGGAGCCTCCTGTGTGCTGGAGGGTCCCGTGATTGGATCTTGACCTGGATTCTTTAGCCATTCTACCTGTCCCCTAAACAAACAAACAAACAAACAAACAAAACAAGAACAACAACAAAATCAGTTCGAGTGGAGTGGACTTTTGCGTCATGGCGACCTCTTTCGAGTCAGGGTGGAACTGTAGGGTTATCACTCGCTTGAGTTTCTTCCTAGGCAACTCTGGGTGGATTTGAGCCTCCAAGCTTTCCTTCAGCAGCCAGGCACTAACTCTTTGTGTCACCCAGAACTCCCATTTCTCTCTAGATTCATAAAATGCTGCCCGGAATCCCTTCCCGCTCTACGTCCCTCTCCAGCCACCAGCTCCAGCTGTGGTGTCCCTCCTCTGCTGAGGGTTCTGGTCTCCAGCCACCTCCTGGACCCCCTGGCCTTTCGCTTAGCAGCATGTCGTCCATTAAACCCGCCCCTTCTCATGGGTACCCCATCTTGGGGATTGCCTCGCCCTCTGCTCATCCCTAGGCCAGTCAACTCGCCCTAGCTGCTGTCCACCCCAGTTGTATTGACATAGAACTGACTGCAGCAGTTACATAATCTCCTGTCAATTTGAGCGAAGGAGTGGTCTAGCCTGTCAATCAGGCTGCAGCTTGATGGACCTCATTTGGAGGCCACCTTCTCTGTCTGCCTTTCCTTTCCTGTTGTTGAGACACTCAGAGAGCTGGAGGAGACATGTGGAGACCCGTGGCAGCGTTGAGATGCTTCCACTGCCACTGGATCCACAAGGGTTTCTACCCACTGGCCTGTGCTCTTCCTGCATTCGGCATCATTGCATGTGCTCCGCGAGTCTAAAGAGGAATTTATGGACTAGTATCGGACATATGGGCTTGATCTGGACTGAGCTGGGATGTCTTCTCAATATACAATCGCTCTTTTATCTAAAGCTCTTTCTTATACACATATGTCTATGAATTTCTCTGGTCAACCCAGACTAACACACTCAGTGGGTTGAATATAGTTTTTAAAAAGTTGTGCAATCACCACCATTAATTCTAGATCATTTTCTTCATTTTTGTACTGATATTTTTAACCTATTCTTCCAACATTCTGTCTGACGCTAAGTAACTATTAACCTACTGTCTACCAGTGGTTCTCAACCTTCCTAATGCCATGACCCTTTGATACAGTTCCTCATGTTGTGGTGACCCCCCAACCATACAATTATTTTCGTTGTATTTCATAGCTGTAATTTTGTTACTATTATGAACTGGAGTACCCCTGAAAGGGTCGTTCGACCCCCAAAGGGGTCACAACCCACAGGTTGAGAACCACTACTATAGATTTACCTATCCTTGATTTCATATAGAATCATACAATCTCAAAAAAAAAAAAAAAGAATTGAAAAAAAAATCATACAATCTCCCCTCCACACAAAATCAACAATAAAACAAAGGAAATACCTCAATCCAAAAGAAAATGGGGAAGCCAAAACAATTTTAAAATGGGTCAAACAGGAAAACAAATGTTAAACTGTAATCCAATCAAAGAGTTTGACTTCTTTGCAGCCCTCGTGGCATAGTGGCTAGGTCAACAGTTCCAGACCATCAACCGCTCTATGGGAGAAAGATGGGGCTTTCTGCTTCAGTAAAGTCTCAGGAACTCACAGGGGCAGTTATACCCTGTCCTATAGGGTGGCTGTGGGTCGACATCCACTTATGGCAGAGTTTTCCAGCTCAAAGTTGAATAAGAGGGGCGACTGGGGCTTCCTTGTCTGGTTCCTGTTGGCAGAAATGTTTTCTTTTTTTCCTGTTGGGCAAGACGCTGGCCATTGGTTTGTCTTATATGGACTTCTTTGTGTTGAGGAATTTACCTATCTCTATCCCGTGACCCCCCCATCCCTAGTCTATGAGGATTTGTATCAGGAAAGAATGTGGGTTGTACATTTGGTTTTGACTTCTTAGTATGAATTGGGTGAAGGTTTACCAGATCACCGCCTTTACATCCAACAACACATACAGTTCACCCCCTCTATCCTGTCCATTCCTCCTCCTCCAACCCCCCGCCCCAGCTTTATCCTCGGCCAGAAACCTCTCATGCGTTTATAATTCACTCAGCTGCCATATATGTAAGACTTGTTCACACAAGTGTTTGTAAGTTACACGCAGATGAGAGCATAAGTAAAAAGGCCACAAGTAAGCCCTCCACAATCTCCCACCATCTTCTACAGCTGCAGCTCCCAAAGCCTGGCTCTGGTCAGTAGATGAGCAGCACATAAGGGGAGATCGTGACCTTAGCCTGTCCCACACGCCCTCTCCTTCTGTGAGGGGCATCCCTCACACTTCCTCTGGGAACCGCCCGTCTCCTGGGTGATGGAGAAGGGATTTCGGCATCGTGAATCAGCTGGGGAGATGGTCCAGATGAACACAAACGGAGGTTTTGAGGTGTGTGTGTGTGTGTGTGCAAGTCATTGTAGTTTGGGGGAGACGTTTACCAAGTCAATTAGTTTCCTATTTAGTCTTGTGTTTTGAGGAAGCCAGAAGGTTCTCCCATTCTGGAATCAGGGTTCCTTTAGGACTGACCCGGAGCAGCCTCCCAGTGCTAGGGTGGAATCAGGACAGAAGGGGCCAGGGGCCAGGTGCAGACAAGGGTGGAAGGAAGACCAGGGGTTCTGGAGGTGGCTGAGCAGTTGGGTGGTTTTCCATTGCAACCCTGGGCAACCCTTAACAAGCCAGGCCCAGGAGAGCCAGCTAGCCTCCCATGCAGCTAGAGGTGGTCATGCCAAAGGGTTCCTGCCCACCTGATAACAAACAGCCTACTTGAATGGGCTGGCGGCTCTGCGGAGGGTAGCACTGCTCGATCGCGCAGGTTTCAGTTGCTTGCTGGAAAGGTGTGTCCTGAGCGGTGGTGTCTGTTTTCATGTAAAAATTTAAAAAAAAGTAGTGGGGAGGGAGGGGAAAAAAGAGGAGCTGATACCAAGGGCTCAAATAGAAAGTAGAACGTGTTTAGAAAATGATGGCAACCTATATACAAATATACTTGATACAGTTGATGTATGGATTGCTATAAGTGCTGTAAGCACCCCCAATAAAATCTTTTAATAAAATAAAATTTAAAAAAGTAAACATAAGCACACACACGGACGCAGAGGGGAGGTTTATTGGTTGTTTAAGGAGCCTTGGTGGCACAGTAGTTAAGTACTTGATTGCAAACTGTAAGGTCCCTGAAGGGTTTCCACAAAGATGAGACCGTTTGCGTCAGTAAAGATGGATGGTCTTGGGCACTGCATGGGGTGGTTGACTCTGTCTGACAGGATCTGTGGCGAGGGTGACCTAATACATTCTTGGGTTTGGACGCCCTTTCCCTGCAGCTGTGAGGTAAGAAGCTGTGAGTGCCACCCGCTGAGTGAGACAAAAAGGCCCCTCGGGTCACAGGCAGCCTGGTCTGGGCTCCCTGGATCCACCCCAGAGTTGGCCTCTGAGGAAAACATGAAAAACATCCTCTTCAGCTTTGCCCAGGGGCCGCTGTTCATCAGGCGTTGCTGAGAGAGGCAGTGGGCACATGAAAGACCAGGAGGGGGCTCCTGACATGAGGTTGATGGTGCGGCCCCCAGACCACTAGCTTTGGGATCTCATCACCAGCGTAACCCCAAGGAACAGCACCCCATCACGATTAGAACAGGAACACGCCCCATGGGGGGCAGGGTTTATTGAACTGGGCGTTGCGGGGCAGTGGTGGGTGCATGGGTGCATGGGCTCACATTGGCGGGGGCTGGAGGTAGCTGAGCTGGAGGTGGGGACAGGTCGGGGGCTGCGAGTGGCCCAGCAGCAGGGCGGAGAGCAGGAGCAGCAGCAGCAGGCCCAGCACGGGGGTGGGGAGCAGCGGGTGCCGTGTGACCCTGTGGGTGGCAGAGGTGTGCTGATGGTGGCGGTCTGGGGAGCCCAGGCCTCCTGGCAGTGCCCGGGGGCTCCCCACCCTCTCTGTCCGGTGCCTCAGTGCCCACCTGAACTGCTCAGCAGGCCGGAAGGGCAGGCTGAGCTGGCCCCATTGTTGCCTTGGAACTGGCACCAGCTCTTTGGTGGCCAGCACGGGCACCAGGGCTCGCTGAAGGTTCACTTCCATTTCATCTCCCCAGGTGTCAGGGCTGTTTCAGACAGGAGGACAGGGAGGGTGACCACTGAGCTTTCCCTGTGCCCCAGGCCTCCCCCACTTCCCTGCGGCTCCCAGGTCTGGCAGGCCCTGTTACCTCTCAGGGGGACTTCCTGGGATGTCTCCAGTGGCTTCCAGAGGGGTGGGGAGTTCAGCCTGGGGGACAAAGGACCACTCTGAGTCACTGGGTCCTGGACTGGCAGTCAGTGCAGCCCAGACCTGCTGTCAGGTGGACTCTGACCACAGCTAGCTCCTGTGGTTTACAGTCAGCGGCTCCCAGTGGGTGTGTTTGACTGAACGCTTCACAGGAGCAGCTTGCCAGGCCTCTCTTCCGTGGCACCGAGGCTGGTTCCAACCAGGGCTTGGAATCAGTTCATTCCAGTTCCCCTCCCTGTTGAGAATGTGCCCGCCTGGAGCCCTGGTGGCGCACAGCGCATTACGCCTTGGGCTGCAAATCCAAAGAGTCAGCAGTTCAAAACCACCCGCTACTCCAATGGAGAGTTAGTCTCGGTGATCCCCAGGGGCAGTTCTACTGTGTCCTCGAGGGTTGCCCGGAGTCGGAATTGACTCGATGGCAGCGAGTTGGGGATTGGGTTTCTTGTAAGCCGCCCTGTTGCTTCATGGTCCCTCACTGTGTGTGACCCCCGCAGAGAGGAGAAGCTCACACACCACTAAGGGGTCCCAATGGCCTGCAGGGCCCGGTAGTGCAGTGGGCCATCTGCTGCCCCCTCCCACCCCTGCCTCCCCAGGTTGTTCTTCCTTTGCCTTGAGGGTGGGGGCGGTGTTCACTGTCCTACCCACAGTGCACAGCACTGACAGGTGTTCCGGTGGGGGGCGAGGGGCCGGCCCCTTCCCGGTGTGGGCTCAGGTTCCTGTGCACGGATGCAATCCGGAGTGCTGCTGTGCCTGCAAGGCCGGGCTGCCAGGCAGATGCTGCCCTGTCTGCAATCGCGCATGGCTGGGGTCCCCAGGGAACATGGTGCCGCCCACTGGCCCCCGGGAACCCCCCTCCACTCTCATTAGCTGCCAGAGGGCCTTGTTATTTCTTGGCTAAATGATTTTTCTCAGCTTGGAGGAGTAGAGGGCGGGCAGCTGCGTCAGCCTCCGGGGGCAGGGGGCTGAGAGAGGAGCAGGGAGAGGATTGCGGAGTGACTGCCTACCGGAACTGCTGCGGTCTCTGGGGTCTGGGCTTCTGGCTCTTCCTCCTGGTTTCTGGGCAGCCTGCGGAGACAGGGTACTGCAAACTCCCCTCCTCTGCCGACCCTGTTCCCCTCAGTGGAGCAGGGCCTGGGGGTCACGAACAGGCTCAGGGTGGGCGTCCTTGAGGCCATGCCAGCAGCACACTTCTTCCTGCAGTTCAGCGTGTGTCTCATTCAGGGGATCAGATTGATTCAGCTGATTGATGCTTTCTTAGCTGTGATTCCCCTGACCCCTGGTGGACACCAGCCCCTGGCCCCCAGGGACCCACTGAGAAATCAGGACATAAAAGGAGCTCCAGGTCTCCCTCCTGGTCTATGGTTACTGAGACTCATGCTACCAGGTCCTCTTTGAAGACAAGACCCAAGCCGGTACCTGGCCCAGCCCAACAGGACAGGGCCTTCCAGGCAGGGCTCAGGCCAGATGCTGCTTGGGAACCCAGACTCCCACGCTGCTGTGCTCCTTGGGGGCCAGGGCCAGTCCTCCAGTCATTGGCTTTAGCCCCAACACCCTTGGGGATACTGCTCTCTCTGCCCTTGACACCCTTCTGCCCTATGAGGGGTGCAGGCTGCAGGACCACGCCTCTGCTGTCCCCATCAAACACTGTATGATGCCCTGAAACTTCTGCTTGGGGCCCAGGCGCCCAGCCCTCTCTCCTGTCCCCCTCTCAGGGTCCAACTCCTCAGCCCAGCCACCTTCAGGGCCCCTGGGTCCCCAACATCCCTCGTTGCTCCCCAACCTGTGGAAGGCATTGCCCCCCCCCCCAACTCTCCTGTCCCCCTCTCAGGGTCCAACTCCTCAGCCCAGCCACCTTCAGGGCCCCCGGGTCCCCAACATCCCTCGTTGCTCCCCAACCTGTGGAAGGCATTGGCCCCCCCAACTCCTGGAAACTTGGTGGCTTGGCAATGGGGCCCACCACCATCAGCCCCTTCTCTGGGCTGGTGACGCAGGACCATGTCACAGCGCAGAGCCCCAGCCCGCCCAATCCGGCTCTGCCCAGACAAGTCCAATTAGAAGACAAGGCAGGCAGCCTCATTAGCTGTTGTTGCTGGGAACCTGAAAGGGGGGTTAGAGAGAGGGAGGGACTACTACCGGAAACTGTGCTCCCCACGCCACCGCCCCCTTGAGGCCAGGGCAGGTGTGGGGGCTGAGGGGCAAGCTAGATGGAGCTATAGGTGTCCTCGGATGCCTGGACACAGCCTCCTGACAGTCCCAGTCACCGAGCTGGGTCTTGCTTGCCTTGTAACCGAAGGCTCCAGTCAGCACCCCATCATGGGCCAAGGGACACAGCTGGCAATCAGATTCTAGCACCTTCCATCATCCCCCAGCTGCCCAGGTGCTCTGGGAGGGTCTATGGGGGTTGCCTTCTTCTGGGGCTCCCTGAGATCTCAAGGGAAGTGTGTTTAGGGAGGGTGTGACCATAGGTGGGTGCTGCCCACCCTTTGCACCCTGATCTGCCAGAGTCTGCTGGGGGTGGGGTAGGCGGTCACCTCCTCAGCACCGTGTCCCCTGGGATGGGGTCAGGTAGTAGGACGAGTTTGAGAATAACCTGTCCGGGTCCCCAGGGCAGGGTCTCATCTACCTGACAGAGTCAAGTGGCTAAGCAAGATACCATAGCCTGAGGTTGAGGTGGGTCCGGGGCCCAGCTCCTTACCTCACGCCGTGCTCTGTCTCTTCTTCTCCAGGGGGCACCGGCCCTTCCTGGGAGCCTCTCTGTGGACAGAAAAGGGCAGGGGACTCTGGTGACTCCTTGTCTCTTCTCACTCAACCCCTCCCTATTGATGTGCACATTTCCCCCCACCCCAAGTCCCTGACACTCTGACCCCAGTGGCCCTCAGGGCTGCAGTCTTTCACCTGGAACCAGACGCCCCACAGCCATTCTGGTCTGAACTCTCCTGGTCTCCAGGTCCCTAAGGGTGTCCCAGTAGCCTCTTGGTCCAAGCCTCCGTTTTCCTGCCTGGTCCCCAATCTTGGGCCCCATTGTCCACCCAGTTTCTCTGGGCCAAACACCAGACCCAGACCTCTCTCTCTCTCTCTCTCCGTTTTTGTTTTTCCTAGAGACTTCTCATCCTCGCCTGTGCCCTTGACCACGAAGTCTACACTTTTAAAAAAGTATTTTGGCCTCTGGGTGGCTGCCCCCAATCCCATCCCTCAGCTCACTGTGTCGCAAGGGAAACTCAAGGCAAAATGATATTACAGAGCTTCCAGCCACATTTTCTTTTTAAAAAAAGAAAGAAAAGAAAACAGAACGCTTTGGGGGCAAACGGGCTCAAATCTTGCATTTCTGAGAGGGACGCTGAAGGTGGCTGGTCTCAGCCGTGTCACAGGCGGAACCCTGACTTGGAGAGCGATGACGTCCGAGAGCAATGGCGCTCGGGTGTTGTCCAGCCAGCTCTGCCTCAGGGTGGCCCCGGGGGACACGGACTAGAGCAGCCCTGGCAGGGTTTCCAGGGCATGGCCTTCCGAAGTAGGTGGTCCAAGAGGCCCATCTCTCCAGGCACCTCTGGGTGGGGTTGGGTCTGACTGGGAACTTCCAGTCCGAGGCTGAGCACCACCCAGAGGGTCCTCCTCGTAATGCCAATGGGTGGGAAGCTAAGAATGGCTGGACTCCTGGGCTCAAGGCTTTATCCTGAGCTCAAACTTGCTGAGCATTTCAAAACTGCTTTGCACTCAAACGGGGAAATGCTTCCTGTTACCTTCGTGATGTTGGGGTGAATGGTTATAAAGCCAGGGACCTACCTCTCTGTTGCTGATGTTGGGGCCCTGGCCGTTGTCACAGATGCACAGCCACCCCTGTGGTGCAGCAGAGCTGCCTGGGGGTTTCCCCTGAGGAGGCCAGGGAAGCAGCTCTTTCCTCCCCTCCAGCTGATTAGTTCCAGCGCCCCCCACCCCCACCCCAACAGCCCAGCACATCACGGGCCATCCAGGCACTTTGAGGATTTCCCTGCCCAAGTCGGCCCATGGCCAGCGAGCCAGCCTGACTCAGAGTGACCGGACTGAACGTCACACTTCCCAGGCTGTCAGTCTTACAGGAGCTGACAGCCTTATCTTTCTCCCAGGGAGAGGCTGCTGGGATCCAACCCCTTGACCTTGCATGCTGCCTGCCCTGCGGTGCCTGCTGACAGCATGGCTCCTGAGGACCCGAACTCTCTGGTCTGGGGTCCCTGCCGGCTGTACCCGGAGGCAGGGGTGGCTGGCGTGCCGCATATGGCTGCAGGCTGGGCGGCTAACCTCAGTCGGGATCTGCTTTGCCACTAGGGGAATGAGCCCAGGTATATGTGGGGGTCCCTCCCACTGGACTCACCTCCCCGGCAGTCTTAGGTCCCTCAGGTAGAGCTTCAGATGGTGGGGCGGCTTCTTCGCCTGTCTCCCCACCAACATCCTCCCACTGCCACACTCCACACAGAGGGCTCAGGAGCTCGGCCGCAGCCGCTTCTGCTTGTTTCTGGGGAAGGACAGGCTTCAGGGGTCAGGCTGGGACTGTGGGGAGGGGCCAGTCACCACGTGCAGACAGGACCAGGTGGGAGGTGGCATGAGGCTGAGTGGGGTATGAGGGAGGGTTTGGTGCCTTAGAGACCATCCTGGTGATAATGGTAAGGGGGTCAGAGTTGGCCCTGGCACGGGCTTGGGCTCTGGATCTGAGTTTGCAAGAGAATTCTGGAAGAGCGGAGATTGGGCTGGGCGCCCATGTGGCCAAAGGATGAGGACCAGAGTGAGGGAATGGGGACATGTTGAGTCTGCACCTTGGTGGCCTTTAAGGGTGTGCACGCCGAGGGTGCCAGGCCCACCTGTCGAATGGCTGCAATCTCAGAGCCCAGCGATGGGGGCAGCAGGGTAGCCCAGCCCACTCTTCTCGACTGGGTTTCTTCAGACAGCCTGGCCACAGTCAGGAGGGAGAGCTGCCACTGAGCCTGCTGTCTGTCTCCGGCGGCAGTGGGGGGAGGGGGGTGTCCCCCAACCTGCCCACTCGGGGGACTGGACGTGTGGGGAGTATCCCTGCCCTCGGCCCTTCCCACCCTCCTCTACTCACTCATCTGGCCCCTCGTGGGTCTGACTCAGTTGCTCCTCCAGGTGTGAGATCTCCAGCCTCAGCTCCTGGGAGGTGGGGGACACAGACACCTGTCTCTCCATCCTTCCCCATCTCCCTCCCTCACTCTGCGGCTCATCTTTCCCAGGGCTCACCTTCCTCCCCCCACTGCGGGGACATGGGACAGATAGTTATGGCAGAGACTTGGGGAATGAGAGTGAGACAAAGAACAACCCAGAAGATGCACACACCCCCACACCCCCCGCCAGGGAGCCCAAGAGGAGGAAGTCAGCGACACAGGCAGGAGGGCAGAGCAGAGGTTGGCAGTGCCGTGTGGAAAGGACGTAGAGGCCAGAGGCAAAGAGATGGGCAGACTGGACCCAAAGGGGAGCAGAGACAAGGCTCAAAACGAGGCCACCGGGAACATGGCCACACACACATACACACACACATCCCTCTTCAGTCTCACTTGAACGCCCACCACAAGACCCAGACACCACCGCGGAAAATAGGCTCTGGTAAGGGCGTGGCAAAGCTGGCATCTTCCCCCAGGCTAAAGGAGATGCACAGTGGACACCAGAGGGTCCCTTTCAGCATGACCGGAGAGTACCCACAGCCATCAAGTTGACTCTGGCTCCTAGCCACCCAGCATAGAATTGACCCCATGGGGTTTCCAGGGACTGTCCTCTTGACGGAAGCCGATTGTCACACCTTCTTTCCCGGGGTCCAAACCGCCACTCTTTCTGTTAGCAGCTGAGCACTTCACCCATGTCTCCCCAGGGCTCTTTGATCCCTGCCCCCCTCTGCCGTCCCTGCCATCGGGTCCATCCTGACTCACAGCGAACCTGCAGGACAGAGGAGAATTGCTCCTTCAGGTTCCTGAGGCTGTCACTCTTCACAGGAGCAGAGACTCCTCTTTCTCCTAGGGAGCAGCTGGTGAGTTCGAACTGACGACCTTGTGGCTAGCAGCCCAACACTGCACCCACTCTGCCACCAGGGCTCCTTAGAACTACCACTGAAAAACAACACCCATTGCCTGCCAGGAAATTCTAACTCCTAGCCACCCAGGTACAGCAGAAAGAAACACTGTCCTGTGCTGGGAGATGGCCACAATCATTCCTCTGTGTGAGCCCATCATGGCACCCACTGTGTCCATCCACCCCATTGAAGGTCTTCTCCTTTTCACTAACCATCCACCTTATAAAGCGTGATGTTCTTTTTCGGTGACTGATCCCTACATGGCCAAATGTATCTAAGCTAGACTCCCTCCAGCATCCTCCGCTAAAGGCATGGCCGCTTTCTGTACTCATTGTCTAGCACACGCATGAGGAGAGTGGAAATGCCCTGGTGTGGGTCCGGCGCAACCTAGGCACACACAACCACGTGGCTGTGAGGCGCCGTCGAGTTGGCTCCGACTCACAGCGACCCTGTGCCCAGCAGAATGGGACACTGCCTGGGCTGGCGCCGTCCTCATCATCACTGTGATGTGTGAGCCTACTGCAGCCACTCTGTCCACGCATCTCCTTCGTGGTCTTCCTCTTTCTCTCCCCTGATCGTCCACTTTGCCAACTCGATGTCTTTTTTCCCCCCACCAGGGACTGGACTCTTCTGATAACATGTCCAAAGTAGCTGAGATGGTGTCTTGCCACCCTCACCCTCGCTTCTAACAGAGGACCATGTGCCCCGGCAATCCCACTCCTAGGTCTAGACCCAGAGGTACGGAAAGTGGGGACCCAAACAAACGTGGGCAACAACGTTCGTGGCATTTGAAATAGCCCAAACATGGAAACAGTCCAAGGCTCATGACCGGATCTCTGGGTCAACAAGATGGGGAAGGTCTATCCAGACAGTGGGCTGTTCCTCAGTTGTGGGGAGGAATGGAGTTCACAGCCACGCGGTGACAGGAACGCACTGGGAAACGGTGCCGAGGGAAAGAACATGACGCTGCGTGAGAGGAGCCATACACAAAAGGCTGCTGAGTGCAAGATCCTGTGTGTAGGAAATCGCTAGGACCAGTGAGTGCATGGAGACCGGCATTTATTTGTGGGCTGAGAGGAGGGGAGGTGGGAATTACTGCTCAGTGGACAGTTACATGACCCGAGCATGTCATTCCAAGGTGTGGCACCCCAGAGGGCCTGTCTGTCTGCTTCTGTGTTTGTCTGTCTAGCTCCAGTGTCTGGTCACGGACTCATCGATGAATCTGCTGCTTCCCTCTCTGTAGACAGACCTCGTTTTATGGGGCTCTGAAGATGGTGTGGTTTGTTCGTTTAACTAACTGAAGGTCTGTGGCGACCCTGCCCTCAGCAAGTCTACTGGCGTCATTTTCCCAACAACGCGTCCCCACTTGGTGTTTGTGCGTCCCACGCTGGTCCTTCTCACAGCGCTTCCAGTTTCTTCCTAAGACAGTTGCGCACGTCATGGGCCAAGGTCTTGGGTGAGCATCACCCTGCACCCTGCTGTGCACTGGGAAACCAAGCCATGCATGGGATCTGCTGGACAGCGGTGATTTGGGGACGGAATCCTGGGGGCTCTGAGGCCCTCTGGCACACAGCAGAATCTTGATGTCAGGGAAAGCCGAGAGAGAAGTAGCAAAGGGGAGAGTCTGGGTCCCACAGCAGACACAGAAAGATGGAGAAGCAGAGACAGAAAGAGGCCCAGGGAACGAGAGGCAGTAAGCTCCAAAAGGCGGCAGGGGGAAAGTGTGAGGGTCAGGCTGGGTGAGAGAAGCATGGGCAGGCACCTACCTGGGTGGTCACTTTGTATTCCTCTAGAGACTTAGCCAGGCTCTCCGCATGACGGGTGCGCTGAGAAAGTCCAGAGATGACTGAGACTGGGCTTAGCCCCAAAAGACTTGGGGGTGGGAGTCGCATGGGACTGCTGTGAGGGGGTGGCGGGGGAGCAAGGGCCTGAAGGAGAGCAGTGACCAGAGGGGCGTTTACGTCTTGTAGACAAGCCTGAGCCTGAGCCAGGTCCTGCTGGTGACCCAGCAAACTCCCTTAGCCACCCACCCACCCTCATCTAGGAACCTTGATTCCTAGGGACCAGCCCAGGCAGGCCTTCCCTTTACAGTGCAGGGCGGCAGGGGCACCCTGAGGCTGGCCAGCCTCCCTTCCCACCCCACCTCCTTACCTCAGAGAGGATGGTGTCTCGCTGGCAGATGAGGCATTCACACTCATAGATGTGCCGCTGCCAAGGAAGGGGTGTGTCTGTCTGTCCAGCTTCAGGCCTGCCCTGCCCTCTCTCTGGGCTACCCCACCCCCTCCGGTGTGAATCCTGACAGCTGGGAGCCCATCTGAGCTACCAGGGCGCTTCTTGGGGATCTCTACTCCCACCAGGCTGGCTGGTAAAAGTGGCCCTGAGCAGTGGTGGCAGGGACAGAAGGGGGAGGTGGCAGGGCAACTGGGG